ACATTCAGAGGGATTAGTTTGATACCAGGCTCATTCACTTCCAGTCTAGCTGAGTTGGGGAGCTCCTTTTAGCTCAGCAAACTGTCTCAGTGGGTGAACCCCTCATGGTCTTGACTTCCTTTCTCATATCCTCATTCCACTCCTTCCACTCTTCAACTGGACCTTGGGAACTCAGTCCAGAACTCCAATGTGGGTCTCTGACTGTTTCTATCTGTTGTTGGACCAAGGTTCTATGGTGATATTTAAGATAATCATCAGTCTGATTATAGGGCAAGGCCATTTCAGATCCCCTCTCCTCTATTGCTTAGGGTCTTAGTTGGGGTCATCCTTGTGGATTGCTGGGGATTTTTCTAGAGCTAGGTTTCTTGTTAACCCCATAATGGTTCCCTCAATCAAGATATCTCTTTCCTTGCTCTCATATCTGTCCATCTCAACTATCCCATTCCCTCAAGTTCTTCTCAAACCTCCGCATTTTTCCTTTACACCCGCCCCATGCTCTCAATTTTATCAGGGTATCTTGTCTGTTTCCACTTTCCAGATCGGTCTATATATGTTTTTCTTTGGATTCATAGCTTCTCTAGGATCATAAACTATAGGCTCAATGTCTTTTTTATGCTAGTATCCACTTATGAGTGAGTACATACCATATTCATTTTTGGGGTCTGGGTTACCTTACTCAGGATAGTGTTTTCTAATTCCATCCATTTGCATGCAAATTCAAGATGTCATTGTTTTTACCACTGAGTGTACCACTCTAATGTGTAAATGTGTCACACTTTCTTTATCCAGTCTTCAGTTGTAGGACATCTAGGTTATTTCCAGGTTTGGCTATTACAAATAATGCTGCTATGAACATAGTTAAATAAATGTCCTTGTAGTATGATTGATCATCCTTTGATTATATGCCCAAAAGTGATATTGATGGGTCCTGAGGTAGGTTAATTCCTGATTTTCTGAGAAAGCACAATACTGATTTCCAAAGTGGTTGCACAAGTTTGCATTCCCACCATCAATGGAAAAGTGTTCCTCTTATTCCACATCCTCTACAACATAAGCTATCATTGATGTTTTTGATCTTAGCTATTGTGACTGGTGTGGAAATAGACAAGATCTCCTCACAAAAATTGGGACCATGTGGGTGGGGGAAGAGGGAGAGCAGAAGGGGTAGAGGAGGGTAGAAAAGGGGGGGAGGAAAACTTGAGGGAATGAGATAGTTGAGATGGGGGAAGGGTAGAGATGGAGAGCAAGGAAAGAGATATTTTGATTGAGGGAGGCATTATGTGGCTAGCAAGAAACCTGGCACTAGAGAAATTCCCAGGAATCTACAAGGATGACCATAGCTAAGACCCTAAGCTATATTGGAGAGGGTGCCTGAATTGGCCTTGTCCTATAGTCAGATTGATGACATCTTAAATGTCACCATAGATACTTCATCCAGCAGCTGGTGGAAACGGAGCCTGAGACCCACAGGTTAGCACTGATCTATATTGAAAAGTGGGAGGAGTGAGAATATGAGCAAAGTGGTCAAGACCATGATGGGGACACCCACTGAAACGGTTTACCTGAGCTAATGGGAGTTAACCAACTTTGGCCAGACAGGAAAGGAACCAGCAAAGGACCAAGTTAGACCCTCTGAAACTGGGTGACAATTGTATGACTGAGCAGACTGCAGGACAAATAGAAATGTCACCAGGATTTGTCCCTGATGCTTGGAACCCACTCCCTTTGGATGGATACCTTGCTCAGCCTGGATATAGTGGAGAGGCCCTTGGTCCTTTCTTGGAGCAATGGCCTTGTGCTATCTGTGGAGTGGATGGGAGGTGAGATAGGGTGAAAAGTGGAGGGAATTGAAGGAGGGGAGGGAGTGGGAACTGTGATTGGCATGTAAAACTAAAAAAGCTTGTTTTAAAAAAGTATAAAATAAAGCAACAACAATTCAAAGTTTCTACAAACCTGATTCAAGGGTGCCAACCTTTATTCAAATTTGGTAGCCAGACTTGTCAATACTGTCCACATAGTTGGGGCTTTACAGTCATGAGGATACAAGAGTAAAAAGATTGGATAACAATGCTCCATAATTTGGGAGAACCACTGAAGCCAAGGATTGAAGCATGGGAGTCCCTGACTGGAGGCCCTGAAAGGCCATTTTTCAAAACTGAGAAATGGAATCCTGGACTCTGAAGGAGACCTTGAGATACTAGAAATGCAAGATCTATAAGATAGTTGTCGAAAACTGGCATACAGCCAAAGGGAGAGAAGTGTGTTATAGTCAGCAAAACTAGAAGGTTGGAGTCATATAAAACCTTTGGCATAAGACAGAGAAGAATTATGGGATTCAGAGTCTGTGCTGCTGGGTGATAGCCTTGGCCTTGCTTATGCCTTCTGGAATGGTAGATTATATTCTTTGCCATTGTATGTTGAAATATGTCATTTAATTTCTGATTTTATAGGGAATTACTATTCAGAAATTGTCTTTGATCTCAGAAGAGTCATGGAATTTTAAACTGAATAAAATAAAATGAAATTGAACTGAATGAATTTTTTTCTTTTTTTTTTTATTGAGAAAAGAAAAAAAAAGTATCCGCCTCCTCCCAGCCTCCCATTTCCCTCCCCCTCCTAACACCCTTCTCTCCCTCCCCACAAACTCCTCTCCCCCTCCTTCTCCAGTCCAAAGAGCAGTCAGGGTTCCCTGCCCTGTGGAAAGTCCAAGGTCCACCCCCTCCGTCCATGTCTAGGAAGGTGAACATCCAAACTGGCTAGGCTCCCGCAAAACCAGAACATGAAGTAAGGTCAAAACCCTGTGCCATTGTCCTAGGCTTCTCATCAGTCCTCATTGTTCGCCATGTTCTGAGAGTCCGGTTTTATCCCACGCTTTTTCAGTCACAGTCCAGCTGGCCTTGGTGAGCTCCCAACAGATCAGCCCCATTGTCTCAGTGGGTGGGTGCACCCCTCATGGTCCTGACTTCCTTGCTCATCTTCTCCCTCCTTCCGTTCCTCATTGGGACCTTGGGAGCTCAGTCCAGTGCTCCAGTGTGGGTCTCTGTCTCTAGCTCCATCCATCACCAGAGGAAGGTTCTATGGTGATATGCAAGATATTCATCAGTATTGCTATAGGATAGGGTCATTTCAGGTTCCCTATCCTCAGCTGCCCAAGGGACTATCTGGGGACATGACCCTGGGCTCCTGGGAGCCACTCTAGGGTCAAGTCTCTTGCCAACCCTAAGGTGGATCCCTTAACTAAGAATTGTGGTTCCGTGCTCCCCTGTCCAACCTTCCATTATTTCAATCCTCTGGATCAACCTACCCCTGGACCCAGCAATACCACTCTTGGGAATATACCCAAGAGATGCCCGATCATATGACAAAAGCATTTGTTCAACTATGTTCATAGCAATATTATGTGTAATAGCCAGAACCTGGAAACAACCTAGATGCCCTTCAATGGAAGAATTGATGAAGAAAGTATGGAATATATACACATTAGAGTACTACGCTGCGGTAAAAAAAACAATGACTTCTCGAATTTTGCATGCAAATGGATGGAAATGGAAAACACTATCCTGAGGGAGGTATCCCAGACCCAAAAAGAGGAATATGGGATGTACTCACTCATAATTGGTTTCTAGCCATAAATAGGGGTCACGGAGACTACAATTGGTGAACCTAAAGAAGCTAAGTAAGAAGGTGAACCCAAGGAAAAACATATAGTTATGCTCTTGGCTATGGGAAGTAGACAAAATTGCCAGGGAGAAAATTGGGATCTTGGGGGGTGGGGTGGGATGAGGGTAAGGGGAGATGGGGAGAGAAAAGTGAGAAGGGAAGGAGGGGGGGAACTTGGGGAAACAAGTGAATTTTGCATTATATTACAGCCATGGGTTTTTGGGTGGCCTGGGTGTAGTAAGTGGTGATTTAAATGAGAATGACCACAGCCTCATATACATGAATGCTTAGTCCCCAGTTAGAGGAATACCTTATAAAGGATTAGGAGGTATGGCCATGCTGGAGCCCACTAGAGCTGGGCTTTGAGGTTTCAAAAGATTCAAGACATTCCCAATCTCTTTCTCTTTTTCTCTCTCTTCCTCTCTTTCCAATCTATCTCTCTATATCCCTCCCTCTCTCTCTCCTTATCTCTCTGTTCTTTTTTCTGTCTCTCTTTCTCTGTCTGTGTCTTTCTGTGTCTCCTTTCTCTCTCTCTCTCTCTCTCTCTCTCTCTCTCTCTCTCTCTCTCTCTCTTTCACACACACACACACAAACACACACACAAACTCTTTCACCTTCTGTCTGTATTGTTCTTGTATTTCAAAATGTAAGCTCTCAGTTACTGCTCTAGTACCATGCTTGCCTGACTGCTATTATGTTCCCTGACTGGATGGTAATATATCTAACCATTTGTCATCATAAGCTCCAAACAAAACAAAATCATTTATAAGTTGTCCTAGTCATGATGTTTTATTTCAATAGAAATTATCCTAAGACAGTATACTAGGACAAAATGAAAAAGTTAGAAGTAAGTAACAGGCATAAACAGAGTAGAAATTTATTCATGACAGCAGTTCAAATAAATACTACGTAACTCAAGATGTATTCAGAGAGATTTCATCGGCAACAGTCAACATAGGCTTCATAGAAACAAATACAGAAAAGCCAATCAGCATATGGAAATCATTCTTATTTTAAAATATAAAATTGGTTATCACATAATTGTGTATTAAGATTTAACCATTAACTTAATGGTTCTGATGTTAAGTGAATGTAGGAGGAAATGCCTAAAATCAGTCTATTACATTAAAGTTCTTAATGATAGCTAGACACATAAGTTATATTTACTGAACAGAAAATAATATAGCAAATATTTTAAGTAAATGTAAATAAGACAATTAGATGAAGGAATGAGAAACATTGGAGATAAGCCTCCTAAGAACACTCACACATTGAATAATGTGGATAAGAATCCTTACAGTTGAGACAGGGGCTAAAATGTATCTGTTCTTCACAGAGCAATGGAAACAACAAAACTCATGCTGGATGAGCCTCAGCCTAGAAGAAGGCAAAATCTTCAGGAGCTGCTGACAGAAGTGGGGTTGTCTGTTGACTACTGGCTGCCTAAGCTTCAGGAAAGCCTGGGTGTGACCTGTACCCAGGCTTTACAACACTTAGAAGAACAAGACCTCCAGAAGCTGAAGTCCCAGACACAACACACATGGGAGAAAAAAGCTCTGAAAAAACTGTTTGACCTCTCACAGACAAACAGTGTTGCAGAGTTCCAGGAGACTCCAGGGGAGATGATGAACAAGAGGCAGAGGCAGGCAGAACAGGCACTGCAGGAACTGAGGGCCTTGCATTCAAAAGGGAAGAGCAGACAGGAAGAGGAAGTGAAGAGGAAAGAAGCAGAACTGAGGCAAGCAATGGAAATCCCTGAAGAGTGCTGGCCAGGGCCTGAAGTGCCCCTAAAAGACACCACAGAAATAATGGAGAGACATCTCGGCCACATAGAACAGACACTACAAAATAGTCAAAACTTCTCAGATAGAGACCTGCTAAGATTCACATCTGGTGGTCTGGCCCTGCAGGGAATTTATAAGACCAGCCACCAAAAGGATCTGGTAACAAGGAGAGAAGAACTACTCAGGGTCCCAAAAGAATTGTTCCTCTTTGGACCTGAGCAAGGAAAACGAATGGAAACAAAAGAGTTCACATCTTCTGAAGAAGAATCCCTGTTCAATGAAACTGTGGAGAAGTTTGGTTTCGGGTTAACACTGTCAAACAAGGGTGGAGGCTGGGGATTTAATTTGGAAGGTGGGTTGGATAAAGTCAAGCATTCCAAGTCCAAAGATGCCGACCAGTCATGTTCTAATCTCTCTTATTTCTGCTCATCGATGTACAGTTACAACCCAGTAGCCTCCTTCTACTTTTGCAAAGATCAGCTCCAGCTTTCCACCGCTGCTCTTAAAGAACTGAAAATCATTGAACAACAACTAGAACACACTGATGGGCCAGACAGATTCCTTGTAGTCAGAAACAGAACTGAAAATTTCTTTAACAGATTTGGCTCTCATGCTAATCAAGGCCCTCTGCACCTTGGGGGAATCTACTGCTGGAAGGCCATCTCGGAGGGTTTCAGAAAAGACCAGCTGGGTCATGTGAAACAGCAGACAGCAGAGGCCTTGGATAGTTACATAAAGGGGAGCTACAGTGGCTTTGGAGTTGAAGTTGAGGGAGGAATGACAGCATCAGGTGAGCACTTAGTAAGATTCTACAAAACAACAACTGATCAACAGCTCCAAATCAAAGTCCAATTATCTATGGCCCAGATAGGTGGACCACCAGAAGCAAATGGAATTGTTCAGTGGACAACTGGCCTTCGTGCCAGCAACAAAACCTGGTATGTCATTGACCGAGAAATTCAGCTGGTACCCATGTGGGAAATCATCCTATATAACCATAAAAGCAATTTTAAGAACCCCTTTCTGGTGGCTAGCTGCCTGGCAAACAATTACTCTGCTCTGACAGGCCTTGTTGCCCATATCCAGGCTGAAGAGGAGTTACTGAGCTCCATAGAGGAAGCAGGACATTTCCTGGATGATGTGAAATCCTGGGAGGTTTCTGACCCTGAACAACAGCTTAACAGCGTGATTGGTTTTATGAAAACATCGGCTCACAAGACAAAAGGTTATGACGTTTGGATTAATACATGCCTCACAAATTGTAATCTACAGAATTTTCTCATAAGCACTGTCAACTTTTGCAAAAGTTCTCCCATTAAAAAATCTCAATTTATTAAATATCAGTTTCGCAGCCTTCTAAAACCTCATGTTTACAAGGTGAAAAACTTTCCTCAGGTGAAGTCAATCATGCAGTGGATCGACCAGACAGAGTCAGAGGAACAGCAAATCAAAATCACTGAATTGTCTGAATTCTTTAAAAATTTAAAGGAAATCCAAAAATCTCTCACAGAAGCCAACATCAAATCTGAGTCCCCAGAAGTAGTGGAAGAGGCTCAAAAAAAGGCAACATGTGATGTCACCACAGTTCTTGATGCCTTCTTGAACTATCTCAGAGAAACAGAGCAGCCAGACATGCAGCTGCTACTACTCTCCATTGCAGCTGGTGCAGGCTATCAGTTGGAAAGCAATGTGTTCCAGCCTCTCCTGGGGTGTGCTGAGATAAACTTCCTGGTGGATAAAATACAATCTGTCCAACACAGATATCAGGAGCTGAAAACTATCTGCACTGACAGGGCACAGGCATTCCTAGTGCTCAAAGCTCTGACGGCCACAGCTGGAGTCACAGCCATTTCTCCAGAAGAAAAAGCACAACGCTTGACATTAACAAGGCAGCATTTGAAGTGTTTACTCTCTATGAAAGTTGCAAATGCCATCAAAGAATTTGAAACAGATCATGATTGGGAGAATTTAGAGAATAATTTGAGGTTACTCATTGATGGGAACTGTGAAGACATCAACCCTTCTATGAAGACAAATGAGGTGAACAAACAATTGGAAAGTATCCTGAATAAAAAGAAAGAAACTTATAAACAACAAAATGATGATAAGAATGAAAATGAGGTGATAGAAAAGGGACCTTTCCTAGACTTACTCCAGCGACTTGGCTTAGAACATCACTACCCAAAAAGAATGAGCAGAGCTGACTTCCATCTAATCTATAAGACTTCTGTGTACAATACACAGCCAAGATCTGAACAGGAACTTCCCTTCTATTTCCTACAAAAGCTACTGATGCTAGATTGTGGGTTCAGACATCTAGTCTTCAAAAATAATGGAAATGCAGAAAACCAAGACTTTGTAGGTACTTGCAACTCAGAAAATGAGGTTTTTGATCCATATGAAGAGCCGTTTGATGGCAGACATAAACTCCCTAATTCTTCACCCACTGAGTTCTGGCCCCACATTCACCCAATGGACATCCAGATGGCCATTTTTCACTGTGCAGATGATCTGGCCAGACAATACATTTTGTCCAAACTTTCCATTTGTCAATTTGCACTCCCCCTTGTAGTGCCAAATCCCAACACTTCTCAGATGGAATTCTCTCTCTGGTCTCTCAGACAAATCAGGAGAAGTTGGCAAGAGTCAAGTAAATCACCACAGGACAAGAGCTACAGTCACAAGAATCAGCAGATGTGCTGCGTCTCTGCCCCCATAGTGTCCTTCATTAGAGTTGGAAAAGGCTTCTCTGCTTCCAAATCTCAGATCATGAACTCTCTTCTCAGTAAACGTAAACACGATGTGTTTTTTCACAGGCACTGCAGAGGAAGCAGCAAACACTGTCTCCTGATGGAGGGAGTGGTGGAGGTCTGCTGGTTCTTTCCTGAAGGTAAAGATGAGGACATATTTGACAAGTGTGTGACCTTTGCTAATCTTCATGGAGATGCCAAAGAACACAGTCAACAACTCAGCTTCCTGCAGGATGTCTCTTCTGTCATTGTGATCCTCATGTCAGCTTCTGATGACAATAAAGAAAACCAAAACCTTGTCAGACACCTCTGTCAGTCATCAACATCCCTGATCTGTTTGATTGATGACAAAGAACAGACCATAGCCAATTATTCTGGAAAAAGAATGAGAATTGGTATCAGAAATAGAAATGAGGCAGAGTTAACAGAGGAGCTCACAAATGCCATCAAACATTTACTGGAAATTTCTGGCCATCCACTCAGCTTAGAGTACTGTTCAAAGACAGCTATAAAACAAGGATTTCTGATTGATGAAAATCAAAGAGAAATGAAGGAAGCCAAAGAAAAGGCACGGACTATAATGGACCTCCTGAAACTATCAAAGTTACCCGAGATCAAAGAAAATTTGCTGCCCCTGCAGGGACAACTTTGGCACCTTTGGTGTAAGAAGGACAAGGAACTCTATCATCTGAGAGAAAGGGGGAATCAGAGCATTGAACAACACAAGAGTGAAATTGAGGTAGAAAAACAAAGAATACGACGTCAGCAATTTAATAAGGCCAATCCTCTCAATCCTTTAATGAGCTCTGTCCTACAAAGTCTCCAAGAAGATTCAGAAATTTACCCCAAACTATATTTCTTACACTGGATAAGTATGGTTTTGGAAAACCTAACCTCAGAACACTTGAGGAATTTGAATAGAAGGCAACAATCTCTGTGGTCACAGGTACAGGCAGAAAAGCAGAAAGCACAGAAGAACAGCTCCCTGACACGCCAGCAGGAGCAGATAGAAGCCATCTCTACCGAGATTCTTAACTGCACTTTAGGAATTGAGCACCTTCTCCGAGAAGTTGGCCAGATCTATGAAGCTCTGGAAGAAATTTCCTCCACTAGAGATAGCCTTTTACTCTGCCTCCCCCAGATTGCTGCAGACCTGATGGTAGCTGGTCTTCCCATTGAGCTGATGGATGGGGATGCTTCATATGTGCCTCTAAAGTGGGTGGCAGCTGTTTTTGACAAGATCTCAGAGAAAGTTGGAGACAAAAGACTGTTTGTTCTCTCTATCCTCGGTCTGCAGAGCTCAGGGAAATCCACCCTACTGAATGCACTGTTTGGGCTGCAGTTCACAGCCAGTGCAGGCAGGTGCACCAAGGGGGCATACATGCAGCTCATGAAGGTAAAAGAGACATTCACAGAAGAACTTGGCTTTGATTTTGTGCTTGTTGTAGACACAGAAGGACTTCGGGCTCCAGAATTCAACAACAAATCCCACCACTGGGACAATGAATTGGCAACATTTGTCATTGGCCTTGGAAACTTGACTCTAATCAATATTTTTGGGGAGAATCCATCAGAGATGCAGGATGTCCTACAAATAGTTGTCCAGGCTTTTCTGAGAATGAAACAAGTGAAAATCTCCCCCAGTTGCATCTTTGTCCATCAGAATGTGGGAGAAGTTACAGCTAAAGACCAAACTGTGGAAGGACGAAGGAGACTGGAACAGAGACTGGATGAGATGACAGCATTAGCTGCGGAACAGGAAGAGTGCTCAAACATAACCCGCTTCAGTGATGTAATTAAGTTTGATGCCAATAGTCATGTCTACTACTTTGCTCACCTCTGGGATGGCAATCCCCCAATGGCCCCTCCCAATCCTCACTATAGCCACAATGTCCAGGAACTGAAGAGTGGGATTCTTACAATTGCCCAGCAGGAATCCAGGGGAAGAATCATGAAGATCTCAGATGTAAAATTCCGTGTTCAAGACTTATGGAAAGCCTTGGTCAGTGAGAACTTTATTTTCAATTTCAGGAACACCCAAGAGGTCATATCCATGAGCAAACTGGAAACCAGGTATAACGACTGGACTTGGGAGCTGAGGAGCCAGGTGTTGGATTTACAGAATCAGTTGACCAATCAGATAAAGAATGGGAACGTTCTGACACTCACACCCAGCAAACTGGAGGGTCCAGTTAATAAGAAGTATGAAACTATCAAGGAAGATTTTGATAAATATTTTGAAGAAGACACAGATGAAATATTGGTACAATGGAAATCAAGCTTTGAACAGAAGCTACAAATGCTTAAAGATGCACTTATTTCAGACACCAGAAGGAAATGCAATGAGCTCATCAGTCTTAAACAAAGCCAAGAAAGACTAGATAACCAAATGTCACAATATGGAAACGAACTGTTAGAGAGGAGCCGAGAGTTGGCTTTGAGTGTGAAGGGTGAAGAATTCAGTGATGAAGAGTTGCATAAGAAGTTCGATGAACTTTGGACAAAATGGATCCGCAAAGTTTCTTTGACCGCACCTCTTGTCAAAGAGGCTAACATTGATTGGGATGCTGAAAATATCCTTCTGGAGCATTTCAAAAAGGAGAAAAACATTGTAGAAAGACTTAAAAAGAACTCTGGAGAAAAGTTTGAACTCAATTTTGCCAAACATGTCCAAGTGAGAAAACAGTATGGGTTAATTTCAAAGTCTTTAGAAGCCTGTCATAAAGAATCCATTAAGAGGACTACTAGTAACATTTCTTTAAGATTTGATGAAATAATTGAAAACATTTGGAAGCAAAGGCGTGATTATAGTCAGAATGATTTTCATGAAATCTTGAAGATAATAGAAAATGAGCTGAAATCTGCACACAATGAGAAATATTACACGTTTACCAAAGACTACACCATTGACTTATCCTTATGCTTATTTTTAACGGCATCTAAGCATTTCAGAGAAATCCATGAGGAATTCAAGAGAACAAATAATCCTGTGAACTATATGGAGAGCAAGAAAGATGATTTCTTCATGAGTTTTAAGATATCCTGCCAAGGTGCCACCTCCATCAAATCCTGTGCTGACTTCCTGTGGCTCAAGCTCACTCCTGCTATCTCTGCCACTATATGGGAGCAAATGGTCACTAAAATAGCTGGGGAAATGAGAGCCACCTGCCCTGCATTTAATGGAAACAGGGCTAACTTGGAAAAACATGTTCTCATTTCTCTGGCAGAAGAAGAAAACTTTGAAAAGTATTGGCAGTACATTCATCATCCAGAATCCTTTTTCAGGGCTTACATTAGAGACCATATTAGAAGATACTTGTCAGCAAAAGAAGGTGAAAAAAAAAATACTTTTATAAAAATAATTTTAGGTGACATCAAGAATGCCATCCTCTCTGCCATTCATGAGTCCACAGTAGTGGCTAAAGATAAAGGCAGCACTGCATCTGGCTGGTTGGATTTGTTCTGTGATCACCTAGGAAGCAACCTGATCTTTCCAAGAAGAGACCTCATAAGCATCGAGCACCAGGAGATAAAGGACACTGAGTTTCTCAAAGAAGCCATGAGTGCAGCTTTAGATCCTGCACTGAAGAAAGTAAAAGAGGACTGCTCAAGTAAGCCCACAGATGAAATGATTCCTGACATTGAGAAAATTCTCTCTGAGCATCTCTGTGGCTGCTGGAAGCAATGTCCTTTTTGTAAAGCAATTTGTACCAACACCATTCCCGAACATGATGGAGACCACAGTGTGCCATTCCACCGTCCTCATGCTATCAGTGGATGGCGCTATCATAAAACAGACTACTTTGTCATTGAGTTCTGTACTACTTATATAGCAAGTGATCGTTCATTTATTTTACATGACCTCCGGAGTTTCCCATACAAGAAATATCGAGAAGCAGGAGATGATTTTGCCACATGGAGCATCACCCCAGACTCATCTACACAGCCATATTGGAAATGGTTTATCTGTCACTTCAGATCAAAGCTAGAAGAAAAATATGGAAAAAAATTTACAGACATAGGTAGTATTCCAGATTCATGGACCAAAATCACAAAGAAAGAAGTACTTGATGACTTGAAAAATTAGTAATTGCCACAAACAGAACACTAGCACTGCCACACAAATTTCACAATAGCCTAGGATGCCTAATAGCAATTTAGGTAGCATCTTCAAGGTTCTACCTTTAAAATGAAATAAGTAAAAACAAATTAGTTAACATTTCAATATTTGAAGATTTTCTTCTAAAAAAACTTTTTCTCCTTTGATTTCTTCTGCTTAAACATAATGTGCTAAACACGAGAATGTATGATAAAATCAGTTACCATACAAAAGCCTCTTTCATACTTGATTATTTCTAATATGCGTTTAAATGTATAGTGACTCAGGAAAAGTTGTTTATTAGAAGGAGATGCTAGTATTTCTGGCTGTGACAGATTCCTTTAGAACAACTGAGTGGGAAACTCAACCATCAAATACATCTGGGTAAATGCTATAATCTGCCTTCAATTAGTTTAAATATATGTTTCCACCCACTCTAATTATGGGGAAACTTGCTGACTTTCATTGCATCAACCGTCATTAATTATTAAGGATGTCAAAGTAGAGCAATTTAAATAGCATCTCTTCTGGAAAAAAAAGTCACATTTGCTCAGAAAAAGCCATGGATTCAGGAAAGATTTTCACACACATCGGAGAAAATTAAAAAAAAAATTATTATTATGTTATTACTCTCTTGTCCATTATATTTTTGTATTTTTCTGTTTATCATTGAAAACAAATACAAATCACAAATATTATTATTGAAACCTGGAGTACATAGCTACAAACTCTATAACCTATAACAGTGACATGCCTGCAAGTTGTACAACTGCAATAGTACCACAAATGTTGTAGGATTAAGCAAACACTTCATGATTGAGTTTAAGACCCTTTCCATGAGTGGATCCATACCTGACACTGCTAAGAAAAGACCAAGAATCTGATATTAGATAGGCCTTAGGCCTATGGGAACACCTATTACCATTATTGTAAATTATATATAAAGTAACATGGCTATAAAATGATTGCTATTCACATAGATTAGTGCTTTGCTCAACTTGCATCAGAGAAGCTTCTTATAGTACAAGGGAATTAACACAAAGACCTACAAGTGAACAATGCGCAGAGAGTGAGAGATCTAAGCGCACTCAGTCCTAAATGGCACATGTTCATCAAATCCTTCTCATTGAGACTCAGAGCTATGCTAAAGAGGAGGCTGAGAGATTGTAAGATCTAGAGTTGAAACATAACTCCAAGAAAGAGTACCTGAGAAACATCACAGGGCTGATGCACATGTGAACTCACAGAGACTGTGGTAGTACACACAAGATCTGTTCAGCTTCAACCTGACAGGGTCCTAGCCTTCAGGGCAAAACTGGACACAGTATCACAAGCAAAACTAAGAAGCTGTCTACCAAAGAAAACCAACATACAAATCACAATCCCAGAGAATTTAGACAACAATGAGGACTCTAAGAGAGACTTACATAGATCTAATCTACATGGGAAGTAGAAAAAGACAAGATTCCTTGAGTAAATCAGGAACGTGGGGACCATGGGAAAGGGTTGAAGGGAAGGGGAGAGGCAGGGAGGGGAGCAAAGTGAAATGTAGAGCTCAATAAAAATCAATTTAAAAAAAGAAGCTGTTTGCAACTGATTCTTGATATCCAAGGAAAATCTCTTTTCTCCAATAAAGTCCCACTGTGAGAATTATCTCAATGGAGTCCCGCTGGGTGTATTATCTCCACTGCAGGTAGGCTCCATCCCACTGGAGTCCCACTGTGTGTATTATCTCCACTGCAGGTAGGCTCCATCCCAATGGAGTCCCAGTGGGTATATTATATCTACACTCCAGGCAGGCTCCACACCCAGGAGCATTTGATGAACACCAAACAAATTCATTGATATTTATGTGGACTTTTTGTCTCATTTTGTTTTATGTGGGCATTTTTTTGTCTTATTGGGTTTTTACTTGTTTATATTGATTTTCACTTGTTGTATTTTTAGAGGTGTTTTTATGTATTATTTTTGTTTCTTTATTTTATTTGATAGTGTGTATTTTTATGAAAGAGAGATACAAAAGAAAATTACAAAGTTTTTTTTTCATTTCATGGCATTTTATTATTGAAAGATGCTAAAGTTATATGTGTAATTTAAGAGAAAATCCTGTTTACTAAAAAAAATCCCCTTACATTTTTACAAATTAATAACTCATAATTTTATGAAACATACTCTAAAATTAATCTCATAATTCATGAAATTATTGTAGCATTTTTTATTTAATATAGTGAGAATACTCATCTACTCGTGATTTAAAATTAAGTATATCATTTATGTAAATTGGACTTGAAAAAGTCTACAAAGTGCATAAATATAAACCTATTTACCCTCAGTGCTATCGTCTAACCTATTGGAATTGTATTCATTTGATATAATTTGAGTTTTTTGAGACTGAGCAATATATCTATGAGTCAGAGAAAATTTTATTTAAACACTGTTGCTTCACTTTAGTTCTCTGTCTATTCCCCCTAAAAAAATTAGTTGAGCACCTGCTCATGAGATTATTTAAGCAGTCAAATTAATAATCAAAAATATAAAGAGAATTTTTCAACATGATCACAGAGAGACCACATAAACTCCTTCAAGTACATCATAGGAACACTGAGGTGATTTTTATATTTAAATGTAGGGTCAGGAATGTACCTGTCTTAGAGGTCCAGCACAAGGTAGGAAAACAATGTCTGGGACTCAGTCTCTTTTCGCAAAGTTTAAAAGTTGCTAGAATTCTAGGAAATCTCTTTTCCAAGAAATAACTTTCTCCTTTGTTTGAAATCATGCTTGAGATATTTTCTTGTTGTGGAATATACATATGTAGTTGATAAGGACCTGGAAGGAACTGAAGAAGAAAAAATCATAAGCAGAATAAAGTATTTAAAAATTTTCAATTAAATAAAAATAAAATGAGCATGAAAATTAAAACCTGCAGTTGTATATAGATATGAGAAAGAATTCCACTTTGGTGATCACATAACAAAGGGTTATGATGTTTAACAGTGATTGCCAACTTGACAAACTCTAGAACCACCTAGGAGACAAGACTCCAGAAACACATCAGTGAAAGAGGTTTTTAGAGTACATTAATCTATATACCTATAAGATATAATAATGATTAAATTACTGGAGGTGGGATGTCCTTCTCTAACTGGGAGCACAGTTTCCTGGGCTGCAGTCTTGGATGCATAAAAAGGAGAACGTTACCTGGCCACAGAGCATTTACTGCTCTTTATTTATTGACTAAAGTTATAGAAAGACCATCTGGCTCAAGTTCTTGCCTCTGTAATTTCCTCCTCTCTGAAATCAAACCACAAACTATAACTCTTCTTCTTTCTCTCTTTCTTCACCTCCTTCCTTCCTTCCTTCCTTTCTTTTAATTATGTTTTGAAGCTCTTGTCTAAACAACTTGGGAAGATTATAATTCAAGGTGTAGGTATCTGGTCTTAACTTTTGTTGGATTGTTTTTCATTATATTTGTGTGTGTATATGTGTGTGTGTGTGCTTGTTTGCTTGTTTTTACATCCTGATCATAGATCCCCCCCCCGTCTCTACTCCCAGTTCCCCCACCTTCCCTTTCTCTACCCTATCCATTCCTCCTCCATTTCTATACAAAAAAAAGGGAAGGCTTCCCAAGGAATATGAACCAGCCATGGTCTATAAAGTTGCAGTGAGACTAAGCATCTTCTTTTCTATTATGGCTGGATGAAGCAACCTGATAGGAGAAAATGATCTCCAAAGCAATTTGATTTCATGCTGTCCCAACTGTTAGTTCATATAATCACTTTCCCTATTATGTTAAGAAAACATTGTTTCCTTATAATTATCCACATTGTCTGGTTCTTTCACTCTTCCTGCCTTCTCTCCTGCAAGGATCCCAGAGCTTTGGAAGGTGTAAGTTGGGTATAGATGTCCCAATTAAGGCTGGGAACTCCATAGTCTCTTATTCATGTAGAGCACAGAATCCAGTATCACGTTTAGGAACTTCTAGCACTGTGAAAGCTAGCCAGTATCGATGAAGTTTCAAAGCAAGTGCCATATTGATCTACCCATGTTCTAAGACTCTAGTATGCAGTGTCTTCAGCAATATGATCCTATTTTCAAGTTGGAAACAGGAGAAATGACCACAGCATATAATAGTTGATCTATAAGACAATACTAGCCAACACCTCCAAAACAGTAATGCAGCTTTCCAACTGTGCTTTTGTTTGTCAGCCTGTGATGTCTAGAAGGAGAATGGGTGCACATTTATATAATAGCTCCTCTAAAATATGTGTACATATATGTTTCTTAAAGCATCTACGGTAGTAGGTTTACTAATGATATTCATAAATGAAACTATTTCAATGACTGTGCATACTATTTCACTAATACAAATTTTTAGTTTGCCTTGAAAAATAATACTAGGAAACAAGATAAAAGACCTTATAACCCATTCCTCTACTGAATTTAAAAACCTACTTGAATGAAAGAAAGAACAGTCTTGTACACACTGAGATACTTAGATATTAGTTGTGAAGGATAAAAATAGAAAGACTAGCAGTTAGTAGTAGAGTACCACTGGGGAAAAGGAAGAAAAAGTAAATAGAAAGAGGAACAATAAACTGAGAGCAGAAATAACAGACAGAGTCCCAGCTAAAGTTAGGACTGGAAGAAAAAAAAGTAAAGAAATGCACCCTAAGAATCCAAAACTTAAAGCACAATCCTTTCTAAACCTGTGTCATATGTGTCTTGTGGAATAGCCTATAATCAAAAAGAGGGATGATGTATAGGCAAGAGAATAGGGTAAGAGAAATATAATAAAAAATAAAATTAGCTATTGAATATTAGAAGCATAAAAGAGAAAATTGAGCAGGTGTGCAGTTTGACTCTATGCAGTCACTCATCTGGATACAAACTCACAGTCTATCTCTAGATGATCACTTTCCTAAATAGGAAGTTCAGAAGTATCCACACTGATGGAGGAAGGTCATTGGCTAATAAAGGCACTGCCCTGG